CCCCCCGCTATTCGGTCCCGAATCCCGGAAAACACGCCCCCTTCCCCCTATTCCCCGAGTCCGCACCGCCCAACCCAGGGCTGTCCCGCCCCCCAAGTCGTCGCTCCCTCTTCTTCCCGCTCCCCGTACCCTGGTCAGCTCTTCGACTGCAGCGCGTGCGCTTGCCTCCTGGAAGGGAGCGGGCTGATGCCAGCTCGGTCCCCGCCCCTCGGCCCCCTCCGGGCCCGGGTTCTGGCTTCACGCACGGCTGCCCCGAGCTGCTTCGGGTTGCGAGAGCAGGTTCGCGCCGCAGCCGCCTGGCGCACCCCAGCCTCGCGCCCTGGCGGAGGGAGGGCGGGTGCCCGGGGCGGGGCTCATCTGCGCGAGCGCCCGCACTGCCCAGGGCTCCCCCCTCCCGGTGCCCTGCCAGCCCCCTCACGGCGAAGTCCTTGTGGCATCCCCAGTCCACTCCAGCCATCGCCCCCTCGCCTGTCTTCTGGGGACGGTTCTGCGCGGGCAGTTTCTTTCTGGACTAAACTCGAGCGCAGTGCTCTGGCTTCGCGTTCACAGGGGAAGTGTCAGTTCATGATCGCCCAGTCTCCACCCCGCCCCCATCCTGAGTAAGGGGGTGCTTAATCGAGCAAGGAGGGTGACAAGGCCGGCGCAGCCCCCCCTCCCGCCCCCAGCCCGTGACACCTCTGGGATGTGGACTCAGGCCCCTGCACTCGCCCTGGCCGAGATTTCACCGGCCCAAGACCTGGCACTCTTGGGCATTTGGGATTGGGGGGGAGGGCGGGCAGGGGCCTGGTGTCTGGTTTCCTCTAGGGCCGCCAGATGCGGGTACGCTCAGATCAGAATGCAGTTCTTGGCTCCTTGGCCTGTTCCCTCAGAGGCCTTCTCTGTGCCTAGTCTGGGAGACAGCTCCCAGGTCCTGCCCTCGGGGAAATCACAGTCTGGGGAAGAGACAGCAGTAATAGCTCGTTAGAGGCCGTCCATAGAAGCAGTGGGAGGGGAAGAGCTGGCCACCTTGAGAGCCTCGCCTGGCAGTCTGCTGGTATGCTTGTACCATGCCTCAGTTTCCCCAGCCATGAGAAACAAAGCAACTGACTTGGCCGCCTTCTTTCTGCATGCCTCCTGCTTGCTGGGTCTGGAGAGCAGGAGCCAGACTGCAAACGAAGGGCTCTTTGGGGGACTGTGTTCTGCTTCTCCTGGAGGGGAGCCAGTGTTGCTTACAGTGTACCAGGCCTGTTACAGCTGCAGTGTTACTTTGCCTTAACTCAGCTCTGTGAGGTGTAGCCACATGGGAACCCAGGTCTCCTGGTTCTGGGTTCCATGGAAGGGATGCAGGGGTTGGGCAGGGGACATCTCCTCAGGTGAGCACTGAATTCAGGGAGAGCCAGCAGGGCTTCTGAGGGCTGACCACTGGGTGACTCATAGTCAGAGGTGGGCCAGGGCAGGCAGGAGCCCATCTAGGGTCCTGAGGTAGTGGGGATACCCAGTGCTCACCTCCACTGCCAGTCAGGCTCCCCTGCCGGAAAGTAGGTGGGAGGGGGCTCCAGCTCCTCAGGCCTGGCTGCCCTTTGAGGGTCTGGCTTCTGGCCCTGATCCCTCCTGGGGCTCTGTTTATGGCTGTAATTGCATCATTAGCTGGAGTTTATAGAGCTACTTAGCACTTGCCCCCACAGGGAGTGGCCCAGCCACCCCCTGTATTCTGTCTGTCTCTTCCTTTTCAAAGTCAACTTGGTTTCTGCCGGCAGCAGGGGTTTCCCCAACTACAGCTGGTGTGAAAGCCAGGTTGGGCGTTTGTCCTGGGGATGGAGGGCCGTCAGCACTTGGGGCCCAGCTTGGGGCTGCCCTGGAGATGACTGTGGAAATCCAGTTGGCCTCCTCTGATACAGAGGGAGGGAGCTCAGGGTTTTCAGAGCTCTCAGAAGTGTCCACATCCCAGGATGCAGCTAGTGTACATGTAGGTAATGTGCCTGTCCTTGTCTGAAAAAGGGGAAATAAAAATGCACCTACCTCAGAGGCTGTTGTGAGGATTCAGAAGGCAGCAGTGCCCGGTACATGGTGAGTCCATGGTGTCGCTCTGGGGGTCAGTGTGGGGTATGTGTAATTGATGGGAGTTTGTGTGTGTCGTTAGGAGATTATAGGTATCTAGTTATGTGTGT